AAAGCATCAAAACGTTTCGGTGGTCGTTTCAATTCGATTGTTTCCGATTCCGAATTTGCATACGTTAATTGGTACGGTAAACGTAACTGTCAATTGCAATTTAATGGAAGGCATTCATTAACATGGGAAGATTAAAAAAAAAGAAATTTTTTTTTTTGGTTATAACTAAAATAAATTTTTTATTCATCAAATTATCTTATTAAGTTTTTTTTTTTTTTTCTTAATAATCCATTTCATCCTTTTTTAACTTATAAATTATACTTTTATAAGGTTTAGTTCTTTTTTTTTTAAATTTATACATTGAAGTGAATGATAATATTATATCACAAAATTTATGATTCGAAATTACTACTGAAAAAAAAAAAGAGAAAGAGAATTAAATGTTAACATAATTAATTTAATCTATTTAAATGTGAAATGAAAAATGAAAATAGTCAAATATTAGAATAGCATTCAAAAATTACTAATTATAAAAATATTTTCTGACTAAAAATTCATCCAACAATATTATTAGTCCTTAATAATTATTTATTAGTTGCTAATAATAGAATAAATATTTTGCAAAAAAAGAAAAATTTTGAGGAAAACAATTTTTTTCGCAACAAAAAATTAATTTAACTCAATTTATTACTTTATGTCAGATAATTAAATTTAATTTAAAGAAGAAAAAGAGAAGAGAAAAGTAAGAAATATTTATTGTTTGCTCATTAATCTTTATTGTTGGATTTTGTTAATATTTTTTTTTTTTTTTGATTATACTTAAATTAGGTATCATTTTATTTATACTTTTTTCCCTTATGTTTTCAATAATTCGTTAGATTAATAGGTTTTGTTGACATTATGCAATACTATATATTACTTAATTAAATGTAATATTTTTATTGATTAATTAAGTGTAATACTATATTGTATGATTTAATAGCTATAACAGTATATGTTAATTTTAATTTTTAATTTTTGTTCTTCTATTTTATATTTAAAGAAGTATCTTATTTAATAATTATTTCTCATTAAAAAAAGAAAAAAAGAAAAAAAAAAAAAAAAAAAGTTTTTTTAATTTCGTTTATTTTTTTCATTTTTTTTCTCATTTAAATTTTATTTGATTTAAAAAAAAAAAAAACTTTTTTATTAGAAATAATTATTGATTAAATAATGTGTTATTTTGCTTAACATTTATAAATGTACTTTTTTTTTTCTTATAATCGTTACTGTTAAAAAATTTCACAAAATGATTTTGCAATTTAGAGAAAATTATTTTATTTTACTTTAATAAAATAATTAATGCTTAAATTTTAATTTTTCATGTATTCTTGTGATAAAAATAAGTAAGAAGTTATTGAAATAAATGCTTAAAATTGTGTGATAAAACTTTTATCATCATATCACTGTCCTGAAAGAAATAATGATAACAAATGATATCAAATAATGTCATATCTTATCATAATCATTGATATTAAATAATGTCATATCACCATAATCATTAAATAAATAATAATTAATATTTCATCAAAAAAAAAACTAATTTTTTTATTTGAAGAAAATATAAATTATCGAAAAGAAAGAAAAATGTTCATTTTTTGTTTTAAAACTAAAAATGAATTCGAATTTTTTGCTATCAAAAAAAAAAGTGAAGAAAAAAACGATAATTAATATTTTATTTATTTATTTATTTTTTCATCAATTACTAATCTCATTTCACTTTAATCACCCTCTCTCTCTCTCTCTCCCTCTCTCTCTCTCTCTCTCCCTCTCTCTCTCTCTCTCTCTTTCTGTCATCCATCATTTCACAGATTTATTATTAATATTCTTTCAAAAATAGATCAAACTATCAAATATTTTCCTTTTTTTTCTTTTTATAAATTTTGATTAATTCATGCAAAAAATGCAATTAATAATATAATAATAACTACAACAAATATTTTTTTTTTTTCTTTTTAATAAATTTATTTTCTTTTTTCGTTTTTTTTTTTTTTTTTTTTAAAATAACAAAAATTACTGCAAAAAAGGAAAGAAAGAATTGAAAGAAAATTCAGGTCGTATAAACTAATATTTGCTATTTTTTTTTTCTTTTTTTGTTGTCAAATTTTTATTATTACTTTTTTCTTTTTCATACAAATAAAGAAGAAAAAAAAAAAGTTGTTGAATGCAAAAAAAAAGAAATTTTCATTTTATTTATGATTTAAAAAAAAAAAATATAATTCAATGAAATTGATATTTGTTTGTTTATTTATTTTTTTTTTTTGCATAATAAATTTTTTATTAGTTGTAAAAGAAAAAAGAAAAAGAAAAAAAAATGACTAAAATGATTCGAAAATTTTAAGTATTAATATTTTTTACATTTACTTATTTGCATATTTTTATTTTTTTGCTTTTTTTTCAGAATTAAAAATAAGAAAAAAAAAAAAAAGGAAATAGAAGAAAATAATAAATAAAGTTTTGCTATTATATTAATCAAAAATTTATATTTAATCTGTATTTAAATTAAATACAACAATTCATTTAATTAATACTACCGGAATGGAATGCATTTCTGGTTTTATCATTTAAAATTGGAAATATTTGATTTAATCTCTATGATTAATTAACGATTAGAATATATATTAAATGCATTGAAAAATTTTTAATTCTTTCTAAAATTTAATTCTATTGTAAATTTTCCAGCTCAATAATAAGAAAATATTAATATTTAATAGGAAAAAAGGAAAGGGAGAAAATAGAAAAATTTTTTAAACAAAAATAAGAAAAGAATTGAAAATGAAGAAAGAATTGATGAATAAAAGTTATTAAAAAGTAAAAATTTTTTTTTATCAAATAGCTTTCATTCATTTATTTGTTCAATTATAATTTGCATAAATTGGTATAATTAAAATAAATAGCTTTGAACTGTTATCAATTAAACTTTTTTTCTTGGAAGTTAAATGATAAAATGATTTTATTGATCGAATAAAATTAATTTGTTGGATAAGTTTTAATCATAAATGAATAGTTAATTAGCAATTATTTGAAAATGCATCATTTTTTTTTCTTTTTAAAATAAACTCGCGCTATCATTTTTATCATTTATTATGATAAGATGATAATAATCTTGGATAGTTTGATAAACATTTCATTTTTTCAAATCATTTGAAATGCTAAAGGTTATTTCCTCTTCAAATTAAAAAAAAAACTGTGCTATCATTTTTATCATTTATCATGATAAAAAGATAACAATCTTGAAAGGATATTATAATTAATATAGTGAATAGAATAAAGCAATATAATGAATATGATAAATGATAAAATTTTTAACCATTCGGATTTTAATTTTTTTTAATTTGAGAAGGCAAAAAAAGAAAGAAAGAAAGAGAAAAAAAATGAATAATTTATGAAAACATAAAAAGAAATCCTTTTTTTATTCATTTAATTTGGTATATAAAATAAATAAATTTGTTTGTTTGTTTTTTTTTTTTTTTTTTTTTTCTTGAAAATAAAATTTTAAGGAAAAAAAATCTATCATTCGCCATTCGTCTTCTTTCAAATTTTAAATATTATTTATTGATAATATAAAATTGAAAAAATAAAAATGCAAATAACAAAATAATAACAAAATTTTTATTTCTTCTATCTTTTGTTTCTTGTTCTTCGTTATTATAGAAGAAAATAAATGTTGAAATTAATTTAAATTTTTTTTCTCTTTTATTCGTTTGAAAAAAAGTAGAAATAAAGAGAAATTTGATAAGATGGACATCATTATTAGATTATCATTAAGCTGACCAGTTTATCATTAACCATTATCATCGCCATTATAATCTTTTAGGAACTAATCGATCCAGTTTTTCCATCTTTATAATATTCTTATATGATAACATCATAAAATTAATTAATTAATTGATAAGACAACATTGGTAAGAAATTATCGATGCTGAAATTGTGAATAAAATGATAAAACTAGTTGGTTGAAATATTACTATTATTATTCATTATCATTATTTGTTATTATTACTATTACTATTAAATTCATATTACCATTATTAATTATTATAGTTATTGTCATTAATTGTTATTATCCATCAAATAATCGCTATTTCTTCTTCATTCCATAATTAATAAATTAATAAACATAAAATGAAATTCATTTAAACAGTTGAGTGAATGCAGAAAAAGGGAAAAAAAAACGTAATCACATAAATTTAATTACAAAAAATTTAACTTAACAAATACTTAAAACAAATGTATGAAATGTGACATTTTTAAGTATCGAAAACATTTTAGGTTTAATATAGAAATCAGATGAAAATGGAATTAATTACTGAAAGATATCTAAATAGTTCGTAATTTAATAGAAAATTGAATTGAGTCAAATATTGACTGTTAAATTCTAAATGGAGAGAAGTGTAAAGCGTAGGAATTAAGATAGAAATGAAACTGAATTAAGTAATAATTAATGAATAGATCTAATGTAGAAATTGGATAGGAATTAATTTAAATTGAATATTAATTGGATAAATCGTTTAATTGAATAATGAATAAATTGAATATTAATTGGTGAAAATGAAGTTGAATCAAATATTAATTGCTAATGAAGATAGAAATAAGATAAATTAAAAAAATAAATACAATAATAAAAGGATAAATTAATACAAATTAGGCATTTGCATATCATATATCCACTGGCACAATTGGAATTAGAATTCGAATTTGAATTAGAATTACAATAATTATAATTACAGAAATCAAATTACACACATTTTGCTACTAATAAAAGTGAAGGATTAATTTAGTTTAATAATTTTAGTAGCTTACTTAATAAATTAATTAATTGCAATTAACTGATAAAGTTATAAGCATATTTCGAGAGAGAGAGAGAGAGAGAAAAAAAAAGGATAGAAATTTATAATTTTCAAATACCTATGCATTATTAACTACTATTTTAAAACAAATTGGTGAAGAAATTTTCAATTTAACTAAATCAATTTTAATTAAATATTAATTATTTCACTAATCAATTAACAATATACTTATTAATACCTTAAATTTTTAATAATTTTAAGTAATTTATTTCGATGCCTCACATCAGTAATACCAATATCAATGAGATCATTGTTTGTTAATGCCAAAAATGTTCCTTTATCAACTTCTTCATCTTTTAGCAAATTAACATATTTACCAAGGCCTGCTTCATTTAATTTTTCCCATATTAAATCTATAAATCAATTAGATTTATGAATGATACATTTTCAATAATTAAAATACACTTTTTAACTTTTTAAATTCAAAAAAAAAAAATTAGAATTCTATTAATTACTAGCTATTTTAATGACATATGAATATTTAATTATTAATTTAAACTTACACATCCACTATTGACTGATTAATTTAATTGAAAGAATTATAAATATAAAATTTATAAGCATAAAAATGATAATAAAGAGTAAAAGCAAAAGTTCTTTTTTTTTTCCTTTAGTAATAATTAAAATATTCATTTGCTAGTAAACATAATTAAACATACTAAAATAAACTTAATAAAATTAATTAACTTAATGCTTATCTAACATTGCTAATTTACCGCTACTCTATTAAACACAAAATTATTTTTAATTTTTAAATTAATTCATTTAATAGAAAAAAAAAATATGTAAAAGTAAGCAAATGTATAACAATGGTATAATGAAAAAAAGAGATATTTACATATATATCAAAAAAAAAATTTTTTATCTGAAATTTTAGAAAAACTAAATTTAAATTTCTTAAATTTAAAATTGAAATAATTAAAGCTGAAATTTAAATTAAAAAATTCAAAATAATATGTTTAATTGTTGATATTTAATTTTATAAAAAAAAAAATCACAAAATGATCAAAATTTTTATACCTTCAGTAATTTTTTGTCTCATTCGTTCATGATAAGCATTATCATAGGTAGCACCTCTTGCTAATGATCGATTGTTTATCTTAGATTTCATTCCGTTCATATCAGCGTTATCATTCAAAGAACACCGCCAAATAAGTTTATCAAGCGTTGGCGTAGATATACTTCTACAAATTATTTTATAAAATAAATTATGATATATGATAAATGTTTTTTTTTTTTTAATTATTAGGCAAAAGATAAAAAATTTTGTTGGTGGAAGAGTATTAGTAAAAGATAAAGTATTGGATAAAAATGAAAAAAGTTAAACGAAAGATCAAATCGATTTATTCGGGAGCAAATTAAAATTAATTCATTGATTAATTTCTAAAATGATGAATGAGTTATTAATTGCAAAATTATCAACAAATTTCCTCCAAAATAATTGTTCAGTAAAAGAAATAAATTAAAATTAATTAAGCATTTAGCATCATCTAATTAATTTGTTTTTTTATGAGATCAAAATTAAAATTGATTAATTAAAAATTAAATAATAAAAATAATTAATATTATAGAAAAATATGTATTGTAAATGTTTTATATATATTCTTAAAATTGAATTATTTAAAATAATTTTTAGCTCTTTCAAATACATTTTCATAATGATAGCATCGTTTTTTTATTTTTTTAAATTAATTATTAATTAATTTTAATTTAGTTTTTTTTCTCTCAAAAAAAACTTCAAAAAAAATTAAATTTACTTTTTCAAACGTTCGCCATCTTTATCGGAAAAAATATATTGATTTAAGGATGAACGTGATGGTGAATTACGGCCATCATCATTTTCATCATAATTATTATTACGCTTAATTGTTTCACGTGATCGACTACGAAATCGTGGAATAGTACCCAGTGTATGCGTTGAGGAATGACGTTCCAATGACGTATAATGACGTGAAAGCATTGATGATGAACGATCTAAAATTAATAAAATTTAAAAAAAAAAAAAAAAAAAAACGAAAATTTTAAATTAAAAAATTTTTATGAAAAAAATTAACAATTTTTTTTTTCTAAATTTGTATTTTTATTATAAAATAATTCTATCATAGCTTAATAATTTCTCATTCACTCGTAAATTTTTTTTTAACGAAAAATTTAAATTATTTTTATAAATTAATAATTAAATTATTAATGGAATTGAAATAGTGATAAAAATTTCTTATCTGAAGCTGATGTTGATGAGCTTATCTCTCGACTATCATTATCATCGTATAAATAACGTCTTTTATTAGCATTCAAAAATGCACCACCAAAATTTCTATTCAAAAAACGACATTCCTAAAAAATATATTAGCTTTTTTTTTTAAAAAAAAAAAAAAAGAATTTTTATTGAAAAAATATTGATTAAATCTTAATATTTTATCATAAATTTGATTTATAATATTTTACTTTTTTTTTTTTTCTTAAATCAAAATGAAAAAAAAAAATAATTTGTGTGATTTGTTTTGATAATATTAATTCTTTGTTGTTTTATTTAGCTTTGTTTTTATTTTTTTTAGTTTTAAAAAATACTAGAAAAATAATAATAGTACCAGATAGAAATAAAAATATTTTTTAAAAAACTTTAAAGTTACTATCATTTTTTATCTTTCCCTTTCTCTCTCTCTCTCTCTCTCTCTCTCTCTTACATAGTATAAATAAGCATTCCATTGAGCAACTGATAAAAAATTCCGTTGTTTATGATTGATTGCTGTACCGGTAGAAGTTATTTGCTCCAATGATGGACCATAATTGATCGAATTACTTTTTTCTAAGTTATGTTTATTTAATGTAAATACCACCGGTAAATTAATAATTCCTTGATTAGCACAATTCTGAAATGAATTTAATACATTAATGAATTAAAGTAAAAGTAAACTGAAATGAATTAAATGCATTCAGTTTTTCAATTAATGTAAAAAATTTTTTTTATAATGTGTTTAAGAAAAAAAAATTAAATATATTAATCTTTTCAAATAATGCATATTTAATTCAAAAATTTTCAAGTATTCTCAAAAAAAATAAATAAATAAATAAATAATAAATTTTGTAATCTCATTTATCTAATTTTTTTTTTTTTTTTTGTCTTTTATTTTGTTTAAAAAATTCAAAATTGTATAGCTATTAATACTAAAACGAAAAAAAAAAAATGCATTAACATAATTATTCATTTCTATGTAAATTAATTGTTCCCATGATTAATAATTATACAAATTAAATTGAATTAATTAAAATTAATTCATACTTCAGCAACAAATTAAATTGAATTAATTAAAATTAATTCATACTTCAGCAACAAATTAAATTGACTAATTAAAATTAATTCCTACTTCAGCAACAAATTAAATTGACTAATTAAAATTAATTCATACTTCAGCAACAAATTAAATTGAATTAATTAAAATTAATTCATACTTCAGCAACAAATTAAATTGAATTAATTAAAATTAATTCATACTTCAGCAACAAATTAAATTGATTAATTAAAATTAATTCATACTTCAGCAACAAATTAAATTGATTAATTAAAATTAATTCATACTTCAGCAACAAATTAAATTGAATTAATTAAAATTAATTCATACTTCAGCAACAAATCAAATTGATTAATTAAAATTAATTCATACTTCAGCAACAAATCTGGCAACTTCAATGTAACGATGTAATTGATCACTTTTTCCAATTTTTTCATTTCCAATCGATTTGAGAATATCATTAGCCAAAATAAATTCATCATTATCATCATTCTGATGAATTTTCACAAGTTTAGCCAAGTGCGCTCTGCTAAAATGTAACTTTTCCTTGCTGTCCAAATAATAATTTCCCATATTACTACCACGACCAACATGACTGGATAATTTATTCAGCTAAAAATTTTTTATTCAAATTAAATCTTTTTAATTAATCTTTTTTTTTTTTCTTCTGTTGAATAATTTATTCACCTCAGAACTTTATATTCAAATTAAATTTATTAATTAATACTTTTTTTTCCTTTATTCTCATGTAATTATCATTAATCATAATCATTAAATAAAAGTATAAATGGAAATAATTCAATATTTATGAGCAAAAAAGAAATTTTTCAATAATTTTTCTTTTTTAAATTTGCTGAGCATAAAAAAGGATATTTTATTATATTTTAATATAATTGATATAATTTTAAATATTAATCACCCTAATATGTTTTCATCATAAATCTTTTAGAATGTGCTGGGGTAATTTTCTAGTTGCATATCATAAATTAATCAAATAATTAATTGATAACGTAGAAATGACTCAGTTCAATTGAAGTTGTGATATTATCAAAATAAACGATAAATAATTATTTTTTATAAATAATTAATTAATAAAACTCTAATGAATAATTAACTAAATCACAACTAGTTTTCCAGTCTTTTTTCTAACTTGATTATGTAAATTTTAGAGAAACTAAGTAAATAAATTTCATTTTACTACTTTAAGTAATACAGCTTAAGTGTTAATTATGATAAGCATCTATTAATAGTTTTTTTAATGATAACTATTTATCAACAATGCAATTAGCAGGTAATTTTTTTACATAATTAATTAGTTAATTAATTAATTATATGAAATTTAGAAAAAATAGACATATAATGTTCATCTTACTACATTAAGTAATATAGTTTAAGTGTTCATTGATATGCAACAATTGTTAATTATTGGCTAGTTTCTTCTTTCTTAGTTGATTAATTAATTAATTAATTATAATTAAAATTTAGAAAAAATAAACATACAATTTTTGTTTTACTACTATAAATTACACGACTTAAATGTTGATATTGATGAGTGTTGATACGATGTGATGATGTAGTATCATGTCCAGGTGGTTGTTGTAGTAAACAAAGTAAATCAGCATTTATATTACCTTTAAAAAAATGTTAAATATTTTTCTAAGAATTTTTTTTCTATCAAATCTAAGAAATTATTGAGATGATAAATGATAAAAATGTTACATAAACAAATATCAATTATATCAGTAAATAAAATTTTCAAATTTTCTAATAATCAAATTAAAATTGATATTTTTATATATTTTTCTTCTTTTACAAATATTTCTCACCCATTTATTTTTCATTTATTAAATTTATAATATATTTTTTCTTTTATTTTAAAATTAAAAAAAAAAAAAAACGATTGTAAAAATAAATATAGAAATGAACAATTGCAATACCTATAGCAAATGCATAATCGATAGCTGTAAATCCATCAAATGATATTAATGAAATATCAGCGCCAAAATTTATCAAATATTCCATAACTTCATAATTTCTAACAAAATTATTTCCAATCAATTAATTATTATTTCAAATTGTTTTTTTTTTTTTTTTTTTTTAATTTTATTAAGTTTATCAATGTTAGTTTTTTTATTAATATTAGCTAACTTTTCATTAATACTAATTACTATTTTAATTAATAATATTAGCTTTTTATTAATATTAGCTAAGGAATTAAGAAGTATTAACAATGATAAAAGTTGTCATTTATCAATTGATAATAGCTTATTTGCATGATTAGCAAAATTTTTATAACTTTTTTAATATTCTAATTTGATAATCACTATAAAACGTTTTAATTTAGCAAACTTTCATTGATTAAAAATTATATTTTAATTTTAGGTATTTAAAATTTAAATTCTCGTTTCGCTTTTTTCATTTTATTTTTTTAATTAGCTGAAAATTTATGTTCAGTTTTTTAAAATATTCCTTTAAAAATCTATTTCATATTGCATTATAATAGAATTTATATGATGACTGGAAGAAAGTCATTTTTAAATGACACTTTTTAAAAGCAAAATTTTAATTTGAATCACTATTAATTAATTTATGACATACCCAATAATAGCAGCAAACATAAGAGCTGTTAATCCGGAAACATTTTCAGCAGCATTAATATCAGTAATATTTGATTCTCGAATAATTTTCACCTATACAGAATGAATTAATTTCAATTAATTAAATTAATGTTTTTTTTTTTTTTTTTATAATACAAAATTTATGTGACGACAACCAATAACTAAAATAATTAGAAATGAAAATAAAGTATTAACTTACAATATTATTGTCAGCTAAAAGTACAGCATACATTAATGGTGTAGTATTTTCCGGAAATGGAACATACGATAAATGCCGATCAAGTATCATCCGGATAGCATTTTCATCATTGCGATAAATGAGTTGTCGTAAGTCCACTTCGATTTGTTCCTCTTCTTAAAATTATATCTATTTGAAAGAATAAATAAATAAATAGCAGAATTAATTGATTAGCTAATTTATTAATCAGTTAATTAATTACAAAAATAAAATACGATAAAATAAAAGAAAATAAGATGATAATAAAATCAATTAATTAATTAAAAAAATAAAATACAATAGGGCATGATTTTTTTGCAAGCTTAAATTATTTTTTGAGCAAATTGCGTAAAATTTTTTAAATACTACGCAAATTTAATTTTTATATTAAAATGCGAAAGAAAAAGAAATTATAAGTGTTATTTTATTCTTAATAATAACAAAAACAAAAACAATCAAATAAAACATAAATGCAAAAGAAAAAAAAAAAAAAGTTACCTTTTAAAATATTTCGAAACATTTCAATTTATTAAAAACAAAAAAACAAAAAACAAAAACAAAACAAAAAAAGAAAGTTACCTTTTTTTAAAATATTTCGGAATGTTGAATTAATTACAGTTAATACTTCATTCTGCTGTAAATGCTGTGCAAGTTCAGTTGATGTCATACCATTTAACGATCGAAATGATGGATTAGCACCGAGTTCAAGTAATGCACCAACAATTGTTGTCGCACCGCATGTGATTGCTGTTGAAAGTGCGGAAAGATTTGAAAGACGTGGAATATTACCATCCAAATATGCACCTCTTTATAATTTATATTCAAATTTACTTTTTTTTTTTTTTTTTTTTTTGTTTTATTATATATTATTTTATGATATATATTTTATGGAATATATAACATTGATGTTTTTGTTCTTTTTCTAATTTTTCTTTTTGTTAATTTGATAAATTTTTAAATTTGCAATTTAAGTTAACAAAAATAATTTATAAATATGGCACAAATTAACAAAATTTATTCTGATAAATTTTGTTAATTTGGTAATTTAGATTAACAAAAATTATAAATAAATTTTTAATATGATTTAAATTAACAAAAATTATAAATAAATTTTTAAATATGTAATTTAAATGAGCAAACAATGTAATATACTTTTGTGATAAGAGAGCACACAAATGTGTGTGTCGTCGAAAAGCTGCAGCTATTATTGGTGTTGGACATAATGCAGTATGTGTTGGATTAACACTAACATTTAAATCGAGAAGCAATTTGATAAGATCAGTGTGTCCACTAGCAGCTGCTAAAGTCATCGCTGATGCACCAAGATATCTAAAGTGTTGAATTTGAAATGGAAATAGGAATTGATAATATGCAAATGATATCAAGTCCTTTTTCACGTAAACTTTACTTAATATGTAAGTAAACACATGTAGAATGTAGAGTTTTTTTTTTTTTTTTTTTGACGTAAACTACACTTAGTACGTAAGCAACATATATAAATTGTAGAGTTCCGTTTTTTCACGTAAATTATATTTAATACGTGGATAATTAATGTGGATTGCATAGATTGCACTTATATATTTCATCACATAACATATTTGTTTATTTTTTTCTCTTTTTTTCATAACAAATATTTATTTCTTAAAATATAACAACATTTAAATTTAATTATTTTCAAACCATTTAGCATTTAAAGGTAACATTATAGTAATCATAATTATTTCTTTTTTAAAATAAGTTAATATTAATTTTTATTGACAAATACAGTAGTCTATGATAAGAGAGATATGATAATATTTATGTTCCAAAAAAAAGAAAACGATCTAGAAATAGCGTACGTTAATTTTTGATAATTTGCACCACGTTGAACAAGTATTCGAACAATATTAGCATGGCCATTTTTAGCAGCATGATGAAGTGCTGTCATTCCTACCTGATTACTTTTCTCGATATCAGCACCGTGATCCAATAAATATTGCACCTGAAATGGTAGAAATAATTTAATGAAGAAATCATTTTTATTATTATCAATGTCATTATTTCATGTGATATTTTGTTGTGGATTTTTAAAATATCGCAAAATTGTAAATTATTATATGAGAGAAGAGAGAATATGAATAAGAAATATATTTTATGAATTTATCAAGTTTATACTTTAAATTCTTTGTTTCCAATTTTATGTTTAGAATATAAATCTTTCACACATTGTTTACACAGTATCGGTTCTTTATTTAGTTGACTTCATTATTGTTTGGTTATTAACTGTAAATTATGTTTGAATAATCCACAAAATTAACAACTTTTACTTAACTCACCTCCTTTGCGGCTTATCAACTAGTAATTAGATTTACTTGTGAACTAGGTCAACAGCTCTTTGTTAGATTGATTATTCTTTCGGCAGATCAATTTCTTATTGTAAATCATTACTTTGTTTATGCAAAGTTCAACTGAAGAAGCAGTTCGACCACAAAAACTTGGATGATCTCAATTCATTTTATAAAATTTATTATATTATTATATTCCTGTGTTATTCTATATGTTAGCATTTACAGTTAACAAATCTACAAATGAGAACAGTAAATCTCTTCCAAAATAATAATTATTTTTTAAATCTTCCACAACAATATTGAAATACTTATTATAATTGTATTTTCAAATTTATATTTTTTTTTAAACTTGTAGATTAATTTGTTTTAGAATTGCAGAATAAGCTATCCCATCGTCCACTTTTTTCCAGCGAATGAGAAATGAAATGTAAGAAAATATTAATATCAGTATGTATCATGAAGATTACATTTTATTACTATTTATTATTATTACTATTACTATTATTATTATTATTATTATTATTATTATTATTATTATTATTATTATTATTATTATTATACTTGGTTATTTATTATAACTAACAATTCCAATATTTCCGGTTGCAGCAGCCATTTGCAATCCGGTAACATGATCATCATCAAATGTATCAACAAGAAAACCAGATTCTACAGCTTGTCGAACTTCGTCTAAATTCCACGTTTCACACGCTATAAGAAACTGTTCAATGCTAATCGAATTCATATTTACGTATACAATGTTTCCGTCTTTTTGTTTAAAGCATTATTGATCGTTTACCTGAAAATTTCTAAATATGATTTAATCATTAATGAATTAATTATTCATTAACTTAACTTGACAAAATCCTATTAATATTTGTAAATTAATCGTTTATCATTATAATCATTGAATTTCCTTCTTCTCTTTCTCCTTTTCATGCTATTAAACCTAAAAAAAAGCTTAATTAAACAAACAAAAAAAACAAACTGTTTTAAAGAATTCTTTAATAATTAAATTCATAAAATTTTGGTCTTAGAAGAAATTTCTTAATTAAATGTTTCAATTAATAAAAAATTAAAAAACATACTAATAAACAGTTTGTGAAATTTATTTAGTTTCAATTTATCATTGATTTATGAAAAAAATCAGTTTTTATTTGGTCAGCATATTCGTCTTCTTTTAATCTTATTAATTTTCTCAAAAGTTTAATCTTATCAAAGATCTTATCAAAACTTTACTAATTAAATATCTTATTTAATTAAATTAAATTTTTAGTACAATCATAAAAAAACGAATTATTCCGTTTTTTTTTTTTATTGATAGCTGCTAAAAATGCGTGAAATAATTAAATAATTAAATTTATAAATGATCATTTTTATATTTATTTGTTATCGAAAGTTTAAAAATAGCGAATCAATTAATAGCATTTCAAAAAATAAAAAAAAAAGAACTTTAAATTTCGTATAATAATTTTAGATGAGAATTAGCATAGGCAATTTAAATACTTATTTATAAAGGAAGCATTTTTGTTTTTAAATTCTTAAAATTTGTTGGTAAATTTAATTTGAAAAAATAAAATGTTAATTGCTAAAATCAGTGCTGCATTTGCTGTATTTATTAAATTCCAGGATGAATTTGTTTAAAATTTCAAATATTCGAGCCTAATTTAGTAATTACATAGCAAAATCGTCTTTTAATTAATTTCAAATATTAATTTTTTTCTTTTTTTCATTAACTTATGAATTTGTTTATGAAAAATAGTTGAAGTTAAGGTTAATTTTTATTACACATTTTAACATAATTCAATTCTTGAAGTAGAGTTACCCGAGATGCAATACTGAGAGGGAAAAAAATAGAATTTTTTCAATTAGTTATTGAATTATCACTTAAAATCTCTTAGAATCTGTTTTAATTTTACCTGTAATATATTACCTGTAATAAAATACTACCCTAATATCAAACCCTATAATATATTACCCCACTTTACCTATAATATCTTACCCTAATATCAAAAGTATCTACAATGCCGGGTAGGGTAGGATAAATTAGAATAGAGCAGTGCATTATGATCATAATAGTGAAAAAAAGATTGGAATTTACTGTTAATCAATAAATTATTGGTTAAAATTCCTAAAATTTATGATAATTTTATACATGAAATTTAAATATTTTAATAATTGAAAAATATAAAAGAGAAATTGAATTTAAATAAGTTAACACTGATAATAAGTAAAAGTTTATTAGTAATGTTTAGATGACAAAAAGGGAAAAAAATAGTAAATTTAAGATGGAAAATGAAGAAATCAGACAATATTGCATTACAACATACACATGCACACACACACACACACACACACACACACACACACACACACACACACACACACACACACACACACACACACACACACACACACACACACACACACACACACACACACATACATATATAGACAGACACACACACATATGTAGACAGACAGGGTGCACATACAACATGAATTGTTGTTGTTAACGAGGGATGTGTAACCCGTGGGTGACATTAATGTGACAATGGTGGCGATAATGATGCGTTTGCGCCTTTCCAACATTAGTGAATTCAGGAAATTCGTTTTTCTCTTTAATGAAACAAGTTTTATAAAGAAAAAAAAAATTAATTAAATTTTAAAAATGAACAGAACATTATTCGTCACTTTTTTCAATTATTTATAATTCAAAATCATTAGTACATATATTTATATTTTTATTTAATTACATTTAATGTATTTTAAATCAAAATTTTATTTTTATTTTGAATTATTTTATTTGTTTCCTTTCTTTTTGATTATAATTTTTGTAACTACAATAACATATTGACAGTTTAACATTTATTTAAAATGTTTACATGTAAATTTATTAATTACATAAATGTAAAATTATTATGCGTGAAAATAGAAGAGAAGAAAAAGCTTTAGAATGTAGTATTGAAATTTATAATTAAGGTGATAATTAAGGTGATAATTAAGATGATAATTAGGGTGATAATTATTGTGATAATTAGGGTGATAATTATTGTGATAATTAGGGTGATAGTTTTATTGTTTCATCATTGATCACTTTATCGATCATTTGTTTATTGCATGCATTTAAAAATTCATCCACATCTTTCAACATTTCTGTCGGAATTTTTTTACGACTTATCAAATAATTTATAATATACTTGTGTACTGCTAGATATTGTTTCGAAGACTGCAAGAAAAAAAAAAGGAAAAATAAAATTTTTTTCGCAAAATATATATTTTATAAATAATAATTACAATTAATATATTAATTATTTAATTATAAATATTACAGTAATAATATAGTAGTATAAATGATGAAATTGGTTAAGAGTAATGATGATAAAAATGTCACAACACAAGATGAGATAGTATATTATAATGTGATTGTATTAATATATACGATCTATTATTCTATTATTAAATAATTTTTATTTATTTTTCATTTAATAATGAATTTTAAATTGAAATCATTTAAAAAATCACATCAAATATAAATAATAATAATAATTATTACCAGAATAAATTTATTTGCATTTTTTTGATTTTTTTTTTTTTGAATTGAATAACATAAGCATATAATTGAATGATATTTTATTCTTTTATATTAATTATTTATTTTCATTACTATTTTTCAATCACCAGTTTTAATTATTTTAATTAACTATTATTTAAGCATAATTTTTTAATTATCAATTTTAATCATTTGAATTAATTATTAGTTTAATCATAAATTAATGCAAAAATTAGCATACATTAATAGCTTGTGCTCGTTGTTTTCGTAAATTTGACAATAAATCAATCATAGTACAAGTTTGACCTTTACTTAACATTTCAAGTACCAATTCAATAGCAACAAATGTAGCAGAACGACCAATTCCTGTTGTACAATGAACTGTTATTGGAAATCTGTAAAATAAAAAAAACAACAAAAAATTTTTTTTTTCCACTAATTATTTAATTATTCTTTGTTCGAACCTTTTTTTTTTTTTTGTAATTTTTATTGTTTTTTTTATCAAAAAATTTACGCTTTAATTTATGTTTAGCAATAATTTCATTAGTAAACAAAATGCTAATTAAATATTTGATTAAAAATAACTCAAATTTAATTCTTAAAATTACAAAAAAAAAAAAAATTCTTTAGCAAGACATTATTATATAATATGAAGGATAAACAGTACAAATAATTTTTCTTTTCATATTTTTAAATTTAAAATTAAGCATAATTGTAATTAGCAAAAAATCTTTTAGATCGATTAATAAAATCTACATTATATAAAATTATAAAATTTAAATTTTTTTCTCGTTTTAAAAAATACATAAAAAATTGTAATTAATAAAAATTTTTTTAGAATAATTAATAAAATCTCCAAAATAATATGTATTTTTTTGCTAATTGTATAAAAATTTACTTAAAAAAAAAAATATTTTCTTTTTCGTTTTTGTTTTTGTTTTTTTTTTTTTTTTGTTTTTTAAAGATAATATAAAAAATATACTTTGATTGTCTAATTTCTTTTGAAATTCGTTGTAACATTTCAAACGATGGCGGTGGCATTTGATCAGTCCATTCAGGCCAATAAAAATGGGTGCAATTATGAAGTCCCAATCGTGAAATAATACGAAGTTTACTTTTAATTGCTGTATAATTCACATTATCTTCTTGTATTTCTATCTAAATTATATTAACTTTTTTTTTTAAAAAAAAAATATTTTTTTAATTATATAAAAAAAAAAATAATTTCTAAAATGTTTGCATTAATAAATAAACAATAGTTGGTTCATTTCTTGTACAATTACTACTAATTTTATTTGCAGAAAAAGAAAGACGAAGAAAAATTAATCAATTAATTAATTATTGAGGATTAAAATAAAAGTTTCAATTTTTAAAACTTTTCGATTTGGTTAGCTTACGAAAAAAAATTTTTTTTTATAAAAAAAACCATTCTTACATTTTGATTAAAAAATCAAAATAAATTAAAATTTATAAAAAAAAAAAAAAAATTGAATGGAAATTAATTTTGATAAAAATAGAAAATTGTTAAGTTTTTGATGAGTAAGTTTATTTGCTAAGTTTTCATTTAATTTATACACGAATTTTGATTAATTTTAGAAGAAAAAATTAAAGAAAATTATTTAATAAATTTTTTAAAAAAAAATAAACAAAAAATTATTTGATTATTTTTCATTTTTTTGTCAAATTTTTATCAATTTTGAAAAAAAAAAACAGAAGAATGAAAAAAAAAATGAAACAAAATGAAATAAAAATAAGTAAACCTAAAAATTTTAATTAATATAAAAAAAAAAAAAATGCAAGAAAATAAAATAAAAATAATTAAACCTTTTTTATCATGAAATTTCTCACTTCCGTATCGCCATATTCGGTTCGTTGTCCTTCCTCACGTGGCCAATAATCGGCGCAAACTGACATATTATTTTCAATTAAATCACATAACATAATAATATATTCACATTGTGTTTGACATATCATTCGCCAAAAATCTTCAATTGTTGTTTCCATTGGTGCCTTATAAATATCAGAAATAAAATCTTTCTCAAAATGCGCAAATGACAACAATGATAATATTTTAGAGTAAAATCAATTAAACAGAGATAGAGGAAAAAAAAAAAAAGCTAAAATAAATAATAAAAATTTAGAATTTGCTTACTAAATATATTATAAAACTAATTTCAAAAAAAAAAAAAAATTATTGCTCATTAAAAAATATTAAAAAAAAAAAAATGTTAATAAAAAAAAAGTATAATTATATTAGTATTAAAGGCATTTGTTACTAATTTAAAATTTATTTACTATTAATTTAAAAAAATTATTCAATTAATTGCAGTAACCTTTCTTGCAGCTTTTTTTTTTTTAAATGAATTAAATCATTAAAATTATCCTATTTAATTAAAAATTATTGAATTACTTTTTTGATCATTAATATAAAATTAATTAATTGCAATTTACCTGTGTGCAAATGAAACGTTTTTTACGCTTTCCAGAATAAATGAAATTTGCATGAATGTAATTTGCTTGTACGTCAACATTTTCAAGAATAACACGTGTTTTTTCAATACATCTAATATCCTGTTTAAAAAAAAAAAATTCATTTAAATTTAATTTATTTAAATACTAATTGAAATAAAAATTTTTTCGAAAAAAAAAAGATTCAATTTATTCATTTTAATTAATAATACTAAATTTAATAAGATGAAATATTTATTTTGAATTTAACATAGTTCAACAAGTAAATTTTAATTTTAACTTACTTAAATAAAACACTTTAAATACTAATCGAATGAAATAATTTAAGCGCTAATTAGATTAAAATTTTTTTTCAAAAAATGAAAGATTCAATTTATCTATTTTAATTAGTAATATAACAATTTAATGGCAAAAAATATTTATTTTAAATTTAACATACTTCAATACTGATTTAATTTTTTTGAATAATTAAATTTTGATTTTGATATACTTAGATAAAATAATTCAAATATTAATCGAATTAAAAATTTTATTCTTTTTTCTGTTTCTGTTTTTTTATTTTTTTTTTATCGAAAAAAGAACGCTATAAGAAATAATTAAGTTTTATAGTCTAACAAATAATTTCTTTTTTTTTTTTTAATTAATTAAATCATTCAATTTATTCCATTTATTTATTCAATCAAAAGTCACTTTTTTCTTCATTTTCCTCTTCCTCAATGACTTTACACTTTCAAAGTGTAAAAAATTCGTAAATTTATTAATTTGAATTTTTGTTTTTGGCTTTTTTTTTTAAAGGGAAAAAAAATAAGTAAAATGATATAAAAGATAAATTTCAATTATTTGCATACTCGATAACGATTTCTTTCATCTTCAGGTGATCCATAAAGAATTTCCATTCTTGGTGTTCGATTTAATCGTTCAAAATCTTCCTTTATTCCATTAATTCCTTTAGCTAATACATTACGTATCCATGAGAGTATCTAAGAAAAAAAATGAAATAAAAATATAAAATTGAAATTAAAATTTATAACTTAAATAAATTAGCAAAAATAAAATTTAAAATTCACTTTATTCTTTAGCAAATCTATCAATGCAATGAAAAGTTCTAGAAAAAAAAAGAATTAAAATTAAAATAATTTAAAAAATATCATTGCAAAAAAAAGGAAAAAAAAGATATAAGCAGTTAAATGATATTTCATTCAATTATTATTTATAATTTACAATCCCATTTTAATTATCTAATATTTAATTATTAAAATATTTTGAAATAAAAATGCAAAATTATTTGGCAAATTTTGCTTTAATTTTTTTTTCTAATTTAATTTTTACATAATTATGAATAAAATTGAAGTTTTTTTCTAATATTATCACCGCTTTTTGTATTTTTTCCTTCTTTTCATCTTTGGTCAACTTATCATCATCTTCTGATTCACTCTTGTTATCATTCTTTAGTGATAATGTTAATTGAGATGAATTAAAATTTGTGGTATCACTGATAAGTGTATTGGTGGTAGAATGTTTCGATGATAATGTAGAAGTACGATCTTTTGTGATAACATTCTGAGTACGATGATTACGATAATCGTGATAAGTGCTGCTCGAACGATGCGGATGTCCAAATGAAGATTCTAAAGTCTCTTTGAAAATTTATCACCAATTTTAAAATTTAAAACAAGTGATAATTTACATTTGAAACTTTGAACTTTGAAATTATCAGTGTACTATGACTATATATTTGATACTAACTGTTGCTGTGCATTAAATTTTAAAAAATTAATAAGCCATTATCAAAAATTATCAAAATTTTCAATCGCAAATCTTTTTTAATGCAAATGAAATGCAGGAGAAAACTGTCAAACATATAAATGAAAGTTTAATTATGACTAAATAATAAAGAAAAAAAAATGAAGCAAAGCCTTAATTACAAATTTTATTTTAAATATCAATCAAAATGAGTATTTCAATACTTTTTCATCATTTCTCGATTTTTACTGATTTTCAACATTTTATATTTCTAATTTGACATTTGTTAAAAATAAGATTTTTAATATTTTCCTTCTTTACCTTTTTTTTTATAATTTGCAAAAATTATGATTAAAATTAAAATTTAAAATTTTTCTACGGACTTTCTGTAATTGACCGTTTTTTGCTTGAATGTCGCCGTGACATTTGCGCTGGAAGTGAAGATAACAGTCTACTTTTCGTTTTTTTTTTAGATGAATGTAATACACCTGCTGATCTTCTAGAAATATTCATACTTAATTAATTAATTAATTAATTAATATATTAATTGTTTACTTATTTACTGATATTTATTCATTTATTTACACTGCTGTCTTATATTTTATAATTTCAACCTCTTTTTTTCGACTTTCAATTAATGTAAAAGAAATTATCAACCAATAAAGTTTAAAAGATTTGATATTATTATGCTATTATGTTAAATTAATTGATGCATTTCAATTAATTTAAATTTAACTTTGAAATATTATAATCAAAAATTTTCCAACTCATTGTATTTATACTTGTTGAATTATTTATTCGTGGTCATTCATTTACTTATTTACCGACAAAACAAAAATTAATACAAAACATTCATGTAAAGTTAAAACTTAATTACTGCTTAAATTATTTAAGGTAATGTATGATTCCGTATTTTCCAGCTAATTAATGCATCTTAATTAATTTAAATTTAAATTTTGATTTTTTTTGAAAAAAAAAAAAAACAAATATGTAAATTATAAAAAACAATTTATTAGTATTTTGGAATTATAAATTTTTTTTTACTTTCGAAATATATACCTTTTACTTAACTTTTTCTTCTCCTGCATCAATTTCGGGTTATTTCTGTTTGACATATTACGGTGTATAGCGTACGTCAAACTACGCACACGAAAATCTAATATAAACAATGATTTCCTCTTCTTTCCACCAATTTTTTTATTTTCACAACTTAAAAAGAAAAGTAAATTTGCATAAGAATTTATTGACACAATTATAATAATAGTATTATATTTAGCTAATCAATTAAGTAATTTTTTTTTTGCTTTTTTTATTTGTTGTTGTTTCATTGTAAAATTAATTACCTCTAAAATTTTTTTGATTAAATATCTTATTAATAAATATATATTCAGTTTTGTTTTCCTTTTAAAAAAAAATGAAAAACTATTTTATATTATTTATTTAAAATAAAATCTCAATAATAATAATAATGTGAAAAGATTCACAATTATAGTAGCATTATTGATTTATCAGTTCTTTTTTTTTTGTTAACAAATGAATATAATTAAATTTTAAATTGTGAACAATTTTGATAAAAAAAGAAAAGCTTTTTTTTCATATTTTCATCTTTCTGGATGATATAATATGAAGAAATAACAATTAACAATGCATAGTACTAAACAATTATATAAACAAATGCTACATTCATAGATAAAATAAATAAATAACAATAAACAATGAGGAATAAACAAATAAGTAAGTGAATAAATAAATGAAAATGCACTTCACAGATGGATTAAAAAGTATATGATGTACGAATAAATTTTAGAGAAATGAATATAAAATGATGAGAAATTACAGTTAAATTATTTAACAAATAATAGGTCATTAAATAATTAGATAATAATAATAATAATAATAATAATAATAATAATAATAATAAAGGAATAATTATACAAATGAAATATTTTCTTATGAGTGTTAGTTCACGTACACCACACACACACACATACATACGTGTGTGTATCCTTGTATGTGTGTGTGTGTGTGTGTGTGTGTATGTGTGTGTATGTGTGTGTATGTATATTTGTGAAATTTAATGATAGCATTTCGTATCGGTTATTTCACTATTTGACAAATAATATACATTCATAATGGAAATGATGACAATCATATCAAGTATTTCACGTCGTCATGGTGACACCAATAAATTTATTCGTATGCATGCGTATTCTGTATATGTAAATGTGTGTGTGTGTGTGTGTGTGTGTGTGTGTGTGTATGTGTATGTATGTATGTAAGATATGCTTATTTTAAATATTTCAGGCATGGTAACATATTTGGATGATTGAGAAAATTAAATAAGTGTTCAAATACTCTAAAGTATCCATTCATTTTTCTTTTTTTTTTTTTTTTTTTTACAATACTAAAATATTTATTTCAGATTCTTTGTACTTTTTTTTTTTTTTTTTTAAATTCAATATTTACATTTGTTATTTGACCTTAATTTAACACGCGAAAAGTTAAAAATGCCAGGTGGTTAGGATAGCATTTTTTTTTTTTTAAAAAAAAAAAAAGAAAATAAATAAATTGAAAATGAAATGATAACTTATCAAAAAGCGATTATTAATTGATTTCGATAAACTTACAATTACCATTTTTTTTTTCTTTTAATTACTATTTTTTGTTTTTGCCAAATTGTATCGTTTTAATCTTTACTCAAATAATATTTATCTTTGCTTAAATTGTAGTGCAGCACAAATAATTTTGTGAGTTAAATAAAAAATTAATGAGAAATGAGGAAATGTTTAAAAAAAAAACAAACAAACAAACAAAAACAAAAACAAAAAGAATAGAAAATATAGTTCAATCGTATTATTGATTAAATAATTTTATAAATGATTTCTTTCATTTCTTAGGTGATAAAAGGATATCAGTTATTTGATTGATGTATACCAAACATATGGCTACTTCAACAGGTCAAACATTAGCTGATCGATATTTGATGACAAAACGACTTGGTGATGGAACATTTGGTGAAGTATTACTTGCTAAAAAGCTTGATACTGGTGATAAAGTAGCTGTTAAAAGGTATTTCTTCTAACTTAATGCAATTTAAAAATTATTTTATTTTTTTTTTTCTTAAAAAAAAAAAATAAATTCAAATTTGGAAATAGAAAAAAGAAAATTTTCTAGTAAGAATGAACTATTTTATTTATTTAATTATTTATGTGTTTTAATTTTATTCTGTTATCATTGTTCTTGTTCTTTTTTTTCAAGTTTTCAAAAAAAAAAAAATATTCATATATTTTGCTATCAAATAATTGCATTTGGTTTATTTGCTAATTTTTTTTTAAAAATTAAATTTAAAATTTGAAAAGAAAAAAAAAAAAAAAAAACGAAACGAAAGAGAAAAAAAGATGAATCAATTGGAAAATTTTTCAGAATGAAAAGAAAATTTTATTCATGGAATGAAGCAATGGCATTACGTGAAGTGAAATCATTGAAAAAGATGAATCATCCAAATATTATCAAATTACGTGAAGTGATACGTGAAAACGACAATTTATATTTTGTTTTCGAATATATGCAAGAAAATTTATACGAACTTATGAAAGACAGGTTAAAAAATTTTTTTGAAATGAATAATTGATAATAATTTGTCAATTATTTCATTAAAATGTTGTTATTGATAATAATATTTAAAAAAAAAAAAAAAAAAAAAAGAAAAATAAAGGAAAATTTTTTAAATTAATTAATTATTTTTTGCTTTTATCATTTTTGTCAATTTCACATTTTTTTTTCTTTTTTTAAAATTAACAAATAAAAATGATGAAGGTGAAATTAATTATCATTTAATAAATTCATATTTAAAATAAAGCTTTCGTTTTCTTTTTTTTTCGTTCATTTAGTAAATTTAAGAAATTTTCATTTTCATTTGAATGAAAATGAATTTCAATAAATTATTGAATGAATAAAGTAATTAAAAATATAATATGCAAAATAAGTTAATATATGATTAGCTGATTTTTAAATTATAGTATTATTTTTTTTTTAAAAAAAAAAAAAAGGAAAAGATGTATTTATTATTAGGCAAATAAATGTATTTCTTTTATTAATTCAAAAATTATGTCCTAAATTACCAAAAAAAAAAAAAAAAAAAATGCCAAAAGTTTTTTATTTCGAAAAAACTAAAAAAAATTGCTGATTTTACAATTTGAAAATTTTTTTTCTAAACAAATATTTTGAAAAAATTTTTTTTAAACAATAAGAAATATATTAATTAAATAATTAATCATCGAGTAAATTATTTGGCTTAATAGCTTCTTTTTTTTTTCCGTTCGCTTTTAATATTTTATTTTTTTTTTGCTCCTCTTTTTCCATTTATTTTAATGCAATTTATTTCTTAATTATTTAACTTTAGTACCATCTTTATCTCTTTCTCTCTCTCCCTCCCTCCCTCTCTCTCTCTCTTGGTAAGAAAATATCATATGAGATTCAATTTAATTGATTTTACTAATTTGTAAAATAATGACAAAATTTAAAAAAGAAAAATGATTAGTCTGCAAAGTTTGGATGAAAAAAGAAAGAAAATTGAAGAATTTAATCATAGAAATGTAACTGAAAGATATGATTGCATTAATTAATTATAACTACTTTGAAGTAAATTATTATTTCATTATTTGGTGACAATGACATTTATACTGCTAAATTGAAGTAAGTAATTTACATTTGATTGGATTGCTTCTAATTAGGATTTATTCATTTTTGCGAAATTTTTCTCATTGACTATTTTAATTACTTTTTTTTAATTAGTATGTATGTATGTATGTGTGCATGTATGTATGTATGTATGTATGTGTATGTATATTTATTGATAATTTCAAATTTATTATTTTATTAATTAATATAAAAAATATACTAACAAAAAATATTGCTTTAGCATTTCTAAAATGTAATGTTTATATTATATCATTTGATGAAGATGAAATTGACAAATAGAAATTATTTTTTGAAATTGAGAAATAGAATTTTCACTATCTGTTTTTTGATCTTTGAATTCTTTCATCAATTCATTATTATCTCTAATAAAAAATAATGTACGGGCGGAAAGTGAAAGATTCGATAAGGTACGGTCGGAAAGTGAAAGATTCGGTAAGGTACGGATGGAAAATGAAGGATTCGATAAGGTACGGTCGGAAAGTGAAAGATTCGGTAAGGTACGGACGGAAAGTGAAGGATTCGATAAGGTACGGACGGAAAGTGAAAGATTCGGTAAGGTACGGGCGGAAAGTGAAAGATTCGGTAAGGTATGGACGGAAAATAAAAGATTCGATAAGATACGGACGGAATTATGTAAGAATGCTATACGGATGAATGGTAATTTAAAGTAAAATTACTATTTCCTTGGCATCAATTGGTACTAACTCGTTCCATAAGAAAATATTTGTATGGTTAAATTTTTTTAAAAAAAATTAAACAGAATGAGGAAATTGTTTGAAAAAGAAAAACGAATAAAATTAAATACAAAAATTTTAATGAAAAAAATAAAAAATAAATTTTACTGTTTATTTTATTAAAACTTTCAGGGATCGATATTTTCCAGAACATATTATACGGAATATAATTTATCAAGTATTACAAGGTTTAGCTTATATGCATAAAAATGGTTAGTTAACTCGTTAATAGTATTAATTATAGTCATTATCTATTATTATTATTATTGTTGTTATCATTATTATTATTATTATTATTATTATTATTATTATTATTATTATTATTATTATTATTATTATTATTATTATTATTATTATTATTATTATTATTATTATTATTATTATTATTATTATTATTATTATTATTATTATTATTATTATTATTATTATTATTATTATTATTATCATTATTATTATTACTATTATTATTATTATTATTATTATTATTATTATTATTATCATTATTATTATTACTATTATTATTATTATTATTATTATCATTATTGTTATTGTTATTGTTATTATCATCATTATTATTATTATTTAAAAATTTGTCAAGGTTGAAATTGAAAATGAAAAAATAAATTAAAACTAGTAACGAAAAAATGAAGAAG